CAGCAAATACGGGGGGATTCAGGTTTCGGATTCGTGAGGGATACGGGAAAATCCTGATTTCGTATCTGCACATTCGCAGCAAATACGGACGGATTCAGGTTTCGGATTCGTGAGGGATACGGGAAAATCCTGATTTCGTATCTGCACATTCGCAGCAAATACGGACGGATTCATGTATCGGATTTGTTGGAATCTGGAAAATTCGAATATCGTCCACACGTATGCGTCGTAAATACAGGGAATCAGCGGCCGGATTTGGTTAGGATCCAACAAAATTCCGACGTTTTAGCGTGGTTCACCTAAAGGATGCAAAAAGTTTCCTACAAAAGCCGCCATCGCATCTGCGAAAAATACGATTTTCGGATTTGTCCGCATCCAAAACAGTCCGGATTCAGGGATGCGAAATTTCGCATCCGTAACAAATGCGAACCGTATCTGCCGGTATTTGCCTGTATCCTTGTAGGATGCGGCGAAATAACGGCCTGGATATGGGTGTATCCGTACCTATTTCGTCCAGTGGTAGCAACGCAATGTGTTTTCCTTTGGTAAACATAATGACAGACATGAAGACAGGCTAGGTCCTGCTCACCTGATGTGCCTTGTAGACATACAGAACCATCCCGTCAGCAGACAGGGCAAACCAGTGTCTGTTCCACCGTCTTCTGTCACTGTCCAACATGTGGAGGTAACCTGACATCTCACCACCTGCCTCTGCTGCATGGAGCTGGGGGGACATTCAACAGTTATTCATTCATTCTCTCTTTCCTTCAGTCATTCCTGACATTCATTCATTCACTCGTTTATTCATTCATTCATTCATTCATTCATTCATTCATTCATTCATTCATTCATTCATTCATTCAACCATTCATTCATTCAATACATTCATTCATTCACTATGATGAATGGATCTGTGAGGAAACATTCAAAACTCACTCATTCAGTGACACTCACTCTTCCATCAGCAATACCACAGGCACAACATTGCACTAGGTAGAAAAGGACAGCTTGATGTGCCTGAAAAATCTAGGCTTGGGATGAACTTGGGTGTTAAGGTAAGGTAAGGAGATTCCCCTCACCTCTAGAACCCCTTTTGATTTCTCCTCCTCCTCCAGGCTGGGTTGTCGAACCCTCTTCAGGATGAAAAGACAGTGTTTACAGACCCTCTCCATCTTCCCACTGTACTCCAGCTTTGCTCGGTAGTTAGAACACTTATGGCACACAACCTACAATTGTACAGGAAAACACAAACCAATTAAACCTCATTGCACAGCAGTTGTAAGTAGTACTAACATTAGCTATCATGATTCTACCAGGTATCCTAAGACAGTATTGTTGAGGCCTGCTTAAGACTGTCTTGAACACTTGGATACTAGTATCTGATGAGTGTACAATGTATACATGTCTCCGGGATTACGACAATACAGTATGTTAGCCTCTTTCTTAACCTTTACTTTGAAATGTGTAAGAACCAGTATCATAAGTTGGTGTGTTGTGTCTAAGTGACAGAAAAAAGCTCTCACCCATCCGCAGGCCCTACAGTGGTGTCTTCTCCTACTGATGGCGTTGAAGGCCTGGGAACATCTCATGCACATCGTCACCTCATTATCCTTGACCCACAGTATCGCTCTCTTCCCCAACTCACTCGCACAAACCTCCTGGAGTGGGCAGGAAGACATTATTTTGATCAACAGTTTTCTTGAAAGTTGTCTGTTCCACAAAGAAATAGTTTAAAAATATGTTATTGTACCTCTGGACATGGAAGCTACACAAGATTAGACACAGGAGGAACTAACACTAAGGCTATAATGACTGTACCTCTGGTAAGTTTTGGTCATCCTCTCTCTTGATCTGCCCTTTGATCAGCTGGAAACGATCTATGGCATCCTGAATGGCCTGGAAGAACAAAATAATAATATTATATATACAATACTGTTTGACAGCTAACTTGAAATGCAGATTAGGATTTAATGATGTTTCTATGTGTATGTTGCAAAGTAATGCTACTTGACTGTATTATGATGCACATGCGACATTGTATAATACAATAATAACAGTTACATTTATAGAATCTCTGGTATTTTACATTCCACACCTCTTAGAGGGTAGATGAATATGTACAAAGCCTTCTACTGTTACCTACCTTGTGCCATGCATCTCTTTCTTCTTGTGTACTATGATGAAGAAAATAGATGTACATACATTTAGTCAATCATAATAATTACAGTCAGAAAATACTTAGAGTTAAAATCATCAGAAACAATATTTTGTTTAGTGACAATCAGACATTATCATCTCAAATAAGCTTTTAATAAGCCCCCACAAAAATTCACTTTGAAACTTTATTGACATATCTTCTTGCAGACAGTAAGTCTGAATAGGTAGGCATTTTCAATGATAATATAAAAGCGCTAGGGAGTTAAAAGTTGCTATCAGTATACTATATTAGGTCAGTTCAGTATTGACCCCACAGATTGTTCCCTCACCTTGCATACAGCTCCAGAGCCCATTGTCTGGCCTGTACCACAAATGTATCCTCCTTTGGGTTGTTGCCTTTGCTCACCTGTGGAAGGGCATCACCAGAAATTTTAAGAGGATTAATCTAGTTGCACAACCATTACAAGTAACAATAGATTGGTATGAACTATCAAGTGTCTGGCTGTAGGATACAACGTATACTGTACCGGCGCACAACCAAATGAAAGACAAATCAGAATCCCATAAACTGACCAAATCTACAATGTATGTGGCGCTTTGGCGTTTTCCAGATCAGAACCTGACAGTTTACAAGACATGTCATGTAGAGAATATTTGTCAATGAGCCATTCCAAGTTTCCTACCGTCATGCCATCTACATCCATTTTCCTCTTGATCTTGAACCTGTTCCCCACCAGACTGGGATTACAGCACAGCAGCATGTCGTTAAACTGGAGAAAAGATCGATGAAACATTCAACATTAGCACAGCATCATCACAGTTAAACATATTCTTCCCAACAGGAACTTAAAGATAGTTGTCCTGTTTGCAACTTATCACCCACTGCTCACCAGATCGTGTGTCATCTTCATAATGTGATGTCACAGAAGTGAAGGCATCTCCCCAGAAATTGCTCCCAAATCGGTTAATGAAAAATCAGCAAATTTACATGAAAATACTAAGGGAAAACCTTAGATTTTGGGAGAGGTTTTTGGAAGAGGGGGAGCACCCTTGCTTCATTGCTTGGGGAGAGCTCTGATCGTTCATTACTTTACAAAGAAGAGCAGTTGAAAATCTGGACCCAGGTGTGATTTCTGTTTCGGAAATTACAGTTCAACCTTGCTTGACAGCGTGCAAAATACCTGGTTGCCCAGTTGCCCCGGGCAACCAGGTTTTACTTGGGGCAACCTATTTTTGAACCTAGGTAGCCCAGTGTGCTACATGAATGTTAAGAATGTCCCCCCCCCCAAATCATGCCCACTTGGCTTGTACCACTGTATCCGGCAGATGCTTTTTAATTTTAGGTATTAATGGCTATCACTAGTATCAGTTAACTAAAGGCTGTTAGAAATATTGTCAAAGGCTTATTTATGTGACATTACTTACTTTGAGCAAAGTAGTAACTTATAGGTGGGGCACCTTAAAATTCTGATGGGCAACCTAATTTTGGACATACATGTAGGTTGCCCACTGGGCAAACTGGTTCAAAAAAGTATTTTGTACACTGCTTGAGAATGCTACTAGATTGTACCCTCACCAGGAAGAGGTATCTGTCCTGATGTTCCCCGTTCTTGGCTGAGATCTTGGTGATCCTGCCCTCCAGCAGGAACTCCCGTGTGGGGCTGACCACGTCCACCTCCCCGTTCAGCTGCTCGTGGATCTCCAGCAGCTTGTGGAACTTCTCAATCTTCTTCATCGCCTCGTTGGAATGTTGCGCTGCCTTGGAGATCAACTCAAGGGCCTCTGAAGATGAGATACAGGAGTTGCAAAGTTAAAGCTAAGTTCTAACACAAAAGGAAACATATCATTATAAATTTTTGGTCGAGCTCGTCAACATTCATGAGATGTTTGATGCAATCACTGACTTTTCCAAAGTCGGAAGAGAGATGACGTCAGGAGTGCAGCAAAAGTGGCAGGAAGACGGAATCTACCACCGCCACGGTTCAGAGAGGGTTGATGGGCCCTGATGTAAATGCCTCCCTCAACTGTGAGTTCCCTTTTGTGTTGGATCCAAGCTTAAACTTTGCAACTATGGATTCTACCAACACAGATGAACTTTCATTCAAAGATACAGGTCCTGGAGTGTTATTCTCCCAAGACAACACACTTAAGATTTTGAGCCATGAGTTTTTAGTCTTCATCTTAGAGACAACGTGGAAGACTTGATTTTTAAAAACTTACTTTCTGTGTCTGGCCTGTCTTCAGAGTCTTCTGGTAGTTTCTTTAGGTAGTCCCTGAGCAGGAGTTCGTAGCGAGGCACCCTCTGTACCGGCTCCAACATGTGGTGCTGTAGGGTCAGGTTTCCACATTCTTCTGTCATCTGGATGAGGATGAAGAAACGTAAGACAGTTTATTCTGAATTCTACTGCAGCAGTAGGACATTTGAAAATTCAATGTGTTTACTTACTGTGTGTGAACTCAGGTTAATGAATGAATGAATGAATACCTCTATTGTACAAAAATACCCTACTGGCCATGGGTTAAGTACAAAGGAGTCGCTTCTGCATACAAACAAATATACATGATCAAGCTAGTACTAGCACTACAGCACTGTATATGTTTTATTATAATTTTTTTTATTATTACTAATTCTCTTTGTTTCTCTGTGATAGTGAAAATTTAATTAGCATACTTGTTTAGGGATTAGAGGTTTGTCTAAGTTCTTTAGAAAAGTGAACTTGTCTGTATTACTAAAGTGGGGAAACATCGATGTTATCAATTATCTATAAAGTTCAATTCTCTCACAATTGTACAGACTACATTCTACTGCAAAATGATGCTCATCTTCTATCTTATCTAAATTACAGTATCGGCAAGTCTGTTGTTCTAGGGGATTGCGGTTAATGAGGATCATGTTGTCTTCTGTAGAAAAGCAGAGTACCCACCTGTATGTCCTCTACTACAGCGGCAAACTTAGGCTTGCCCATCCAGGAGTTGACCAGGTTCATGGACACGTCAAAGTTCTTGATGTACTCCCCGTACAGCTTCAGGAAGGGGGCGAAGTTCTTCATCAGATCTCCAATCTTCTTATTCTTGTCTTCAGCCCTGTGGGAGGGAGGAGGAAAATTGAATTCAACTCATTTACACGTATATGAATATGGAGTCAGCTTATTGAAATTCTTGCGGCCAATAGTTGAATTTCAAAGAGTCCGTTTTCACTCACTTAAAGATAGAAAACTTGACATGTCCTATATGTATCCCATACTGGTTCTAGTTCTTCTTCTATAGTTGACATGTAAAGACCCATTCTGTCCAAGAAAGTCACAAAAGTGTAGGGAAATGGCAGCCTACATTGCACTTAGAATCCTAGCTTATACATTTTGTATTCCTTGAGTTCATGTAGTTGAAAGTACCAAACCTCTACTGACTATTCTGACCAAGAAAACAGCAGCAGAAGTTTCAGAAAATAACTCCCTGCCTTAGATCTAGTCCCTAACAGGTTCTACACATTGCTAGCCTGTAATCCAGACCCCCCCTCTACTGACCATTCCTTCATCCTATCCTCCAGCTGAGGCAGCAGGAAGTCGTGGTGGAACTGGTAAATCGGCTTCACGTGGGAGAAAATCCCGCGGACAACGTCTGCCGGGATGTTTGCTTCCTCAAGCTTCTTACAGAACACCTGGAATGAGAAAACAGTATGTTTAAGTCTTCCGCACTTTAAATGAAGGAGTTAAACTAGTACGCACAACGAATGTTCAAGCTATGAGAAGCTTTCAGCTGGCATCCGCATTAGCTCATAACTTCTTATTGTATAACTCTTAGTTTTATAATTGTTTTCTGATTGTTACAGATATAATTTAGATCATTCATCAAATTTTGTGGGACAATTTATAAATCTGCTGTATTCCATGATAGGACTTTCAAATATGGCATACTATAATAATACATAATATACACATTGTATACAATTAAGAAAAAGTTTGCAATCGTATCTGTAACAATCTGATTAACGATCTGACTTTTTACATCATGGTATGACCTTCACTCTGTCAAAATGTCAATAACGGTAAGAGAATGTCCTACCTGGTCCAGCAGGTGGAGCTTTGAGACATATGACCTCTCAGAGGTCAACATTTCATACGCGACCTTGTGGATGGGCGACCTTGGAGGTTCCTCTTCTGGTTCGCGTGCAACAAGCCTCTGAAAAGATTACAGGGAAGCACTGGAATTACTTTTAAGTCCTGCGCTCTTAGTAAATCCCCAATGCCACATCAAATTATCCCTTGGTTCTCATTCTAAAAGTACATGTAATTCAAATGACTTTGTAATGATAGGGACTGAGTGGAAAACTGACTATATTTTCTGCTTGAAACTGTGTTCCAATTTAAAAGTAAAGACTATTCTGTCAGACCCTGTTTCCAATTTTTTAAATCAGAGAACCAAGGAATTGTATTGTAGTAGCCTGAGATATGTTGTTCCAGGTCAGAAAAAGCATAAGAACAAAGCTCTGTACAATGCATGAAATGACAGATTAGTCCTGAAGCGTTTACAAAGCAGATTCACAGTGTGTGTATGTGTAGAGGTAATTAAAAAGCCAAAGTGCAGCAGTCATGGACAGAAGACTGAGGACAAGAGAATTGCATAGTTTTCTGAAGGTACAGACAGGGTCATGGTTTGATTTCAAAATTTTATCTTGAATTTGAATCACAGACATACAATATTGTATTACTCTGTTATCAATTATACATCATTGAGAAAATTTGATTCACGAATGATACAAAATTTGGAAAGGGGTTCTAGAAGTTAGACAATCAATTTGAGCAAATATCTTTCTACTAGCTACTCAATTCCATGTCTGATTTTCAAGTGTCTTTGATCATTCAGGATTTGTTTGATTTGACTCCACAGTTCACACAGTCACATGCCTTTTGAGACGGCTTTTTGGATTGTCGTTTCTACGACAGGAACGCCTGCGCCATGACTGGCGCTGAAAACTCCTGTTCCGCAAAACACGAACACTGGCACTGTCCTTGTGCATCCTACTCTTCTGTAAAGGTATTAGTGCATGGCAGTGAAAATGGTGCCACCTAGCAATTCTGGCAGAAACTGCACATCACTATCATACATGAAATGTAGACTAAGTTTACAGTACCAGGGTGGCATATTGCATGGATGTGAGGTAACGTTAATGGATATAGAACAGGAAAAATGTTTGTCTGTTGAGCTTTGGCATTGGTTGTGGTAAGTTTTATTAGAAAAAGAGAAATTTTAAATGTGGAAAAGAACAGCAGAAGTGTCATAGTGTAGAAATTTTTATTGCAGCGTGTAATTTGAAATGGTCGATAAAATACATTTTGTACCCTTGTCTACCCTTCATTTGTCAGAACCTTACACCATTCACCAAGTCTGAACATTTTGTCACCCAAACATGCCTGCGTAACACGTCTTCTAATCGTAGTGCGCCGTTTTTTCCATGTTTTCTGGCGACGCTGGATTGGGGGATTTATTTTATCTTCCTTCACGGGTTCTGCCTGTTCCTGTTCTTCCTGTTCCTTTGGAATCTCCTGTTCTTTTTCATTCCTCCTCCGCCCTGGTCCTTTCTCATTCTCCTCCCCCTGGTCTTTCTTATTCTCAGCCTGTTCTTTTTCTATCTCATCCTGTTCTGACTGTGTCTCATCCTGTTCTGACTGTGAAATAAGTCAATTTACCCACTGGTTAGAAATAAACAAAATAAAACAAAACAAAACAGGATAAAATAAATAAAATGAGTGCAAAACATATGAAGACAAAAAATTATAATGAACATTAAGGATAACAATACAAAAGTGCCAATAGGTCTTAAATCTAGACGCTGGGCACTTTACACAATCTGTTGCATTGATATCTATGTTTTACAATATCAGTTGGAAGGGCATACAACCATCTACACGTACACTGTGTCTGTGGGTTTTTTACTACAATCTCTCATGACTTGAAAAATTACAGATACAAAATATTTGACTGCCACGTTACGAATTGATTCAGGTTATTGAAATACTGTAATTCCTGATTTTTCCAGTTACATGTACTGTACTGTTATGTTCACTGTTTTCACTGTCACTTCTGTACCGTGAACTTACCATTATAGTAAACAAATAATTCCTGGACTTCTTTTTCCTTCACCTGTTGCCACCGTGAATATATAGTTCCGTGAATATATTATCCATTTTTCTTCATACCGTGAACTTTTGCTACCGTGAACATTAAGTGAATATAGTATTCAATTTCCAAACCAAAAAGTGCCCAGTGTTTTGTGAATATTGAAGAATGAAGAATAT